ATAAGGAGACAAAATGAGGCATAAGGAGTCAAAAAGAAGCATAAGGATACAAAAAATAGGCTTAAGGAGACACTAAGAATCCCAAGGAGACAAAAAGAGGCATAAGGAGATGAAAAGAGACATATGGATACAAATAGATGTATAAGGAGACAACAAGAAACTTGAGACAACAAGAGGCATAAGGAGATAAAAAAAAGAAGCATAAGGAGACCAAAAGAAGCACAAGTAGACAAAAAGATGGATAAGGAGATAAAAATAAGCATGAGACAAAAAGAAGCACAAGGAGACATAAAGAGGCATAAGGAGACAAAAAACATTGATAAGGAAACAAAAAGAGTCACAATGAGACAAAAAGAAGCATAAGGAGACAAATGGGCATAAGGAGACAAATAGAAGCATAAAGAGACAAAAATAAGCATAAGGAGACAAAAAGACACATAAGGAGACAAAAAGACACATAAGGACACAAAAAGAAGCACAAGGAGACCAAAAGAGGCACAACGAAACAAAAAGACTCATAATGAGACAAAAAGAAGCACAAGGAGACAAAAAGAGACATAAGGACACAGAAAGAAGCACAAGGAGACAAAAAGAGGCACAAAGAGACAAAAAGAAGCATAAGGAGACAAAGTAAGGAGACAAAGTATAAGGAGTCAAAAAGGTGCATAAGGAAACAAAAAGGTGCATAAGGAGACAAAAAGAGGCATAAGGAGACATCGCTTTATAATGTAGTTGTTTTTGTTTTCTTTATATAATATCATTTTTTTATTTACTTTTCATTTTATGCTTTTTTATGATTGTCTACTGTTGTCATCTGTGTTCTTTGTTGAAAACTGGTCTCACTTGTAAGAGTCCTTGAGTCTTAATGAGACTAACCTGTATAAATAAAGGTTGAATTGAATGAGACAAAAAAGATGCTTAAGGATACAAAAAAAGGCATAAGGAAACATAAAAGAGGCATAAGGAAACATAAGAGAAAAAGAATGCATAATAAAATATAAAAAGACAGAAGGACACAAAATGAGACATAAAACGACAAGGCGTATGAGATGACTAAAAGAACTTAAGACGGTAAAGACAAAGGGACACAAAAGACTAAGATATAAGGAGACATAAATGGAGCAATTCAGCTGAATGAGACTACAAAAGAAAATTAGTTTTTTGAAGGATTTAGGAATATATGAATGCATTTAGATAAAACAATGCAAATAAAAGTTTAATAATTTAAAGAATGTAAAAGTTTCAAAAAACAAATTCAATCACCATGTTCTTAACGAGCTGAATGTTTTTAATATCTGAAACAGCTGAACGTAAGCCGAAATAATCATATTCCAAAATAACGTACCAACAGGAAACAACGGTGACTCAGCATGTTCACCATTATTATTACTCATAAACAGCTTTCTAGCTTTTAGTTTCACATTACATATCAGTGTCTAAAAGGAAAATAAAACAAAAACAAACAAGCCTGGTCTACTGCTCCGCTCCGCTGTCAGTGGCATTTCACACCCACTGTTCCCATGACTCATGGGGCCCAGCGAGGCTCCTGGAAAGCGGCTGCATTCAGCCAGATGATTAGCTCGGCTGTTTGTGGACGGATACGAGCAGGGGACTCGTCCTCCGCAGAAATGCTGAGATGTGTTTGAGTTCGATGAAATGAACTTAAATTACTGTAAATAACTCGTAGAGTTGATCGCTGCAGTGACAATATGGACCGAATGAAAGGACGTTTAGGGAAACACTGTTGTGGAAAAATATCAGTGGTGCAGTTTCAGCTGTGTAACATGTAAACGAAACTTTCTGCTGGCATCACACAAAGGCAAAAAGTGAGGATTGATGGGCAGCTTTTAAATTTTATTTATCAGAAATTTGAGTTCAAAGCCTTAAAGGGATCTCCAACTAGTTGAAACAATTGACCTTAACTGATAAACAAACGGTTCACCTATAAAAAAAAGTGTAGGCTGTTTAGTTTTTTATTTAAAACAATATTGTCACATATAAACATCGCCATTTTATTTACTTTGCCATGCATTCTGGGTAAATAATAGACGGGTTGCTTCAGTGAAAGTTCCATTTAACTTGAATGTTAATGTCAGACAGTATTTGACGTTCAGCCCTTTAATTTGAGCAAGAGTCTGTTTCAGACAGAGAGAAGAATCGAGAAATGACTCAACTTTTTTGCTAGCTCCATAGCTAATATATATGGTATTATCCAAAAAAGTTCAATCCGGTCCTCTGGACATTCAAAAAAACAAAAAACAAAACAAAGCAAAAAAATATAGAAACGTTTCGTCTCTCATCCAAGAGACTTCCTCAGTCTGAGGTGCTGTTTTCAGCTCAGTCTCTTAAATAGCACCTTCTCAGAGTGGATCAACCAGTTTGCTGCTGACAACCAAAACCAGCTGATCACATTTTTTGAATGTCCAGAGGACCAGATTGAACTTTTTTGGATTTTTCTACCTGGATTATTGAGCATGCATCAGGATATATGGTATTAGCTCCAGAGCTAATAACATTAGCTCTGGAGCTAATGCCATTAGCTCCAGAGCTAATAGTGTTAGCTCCAAATGTAATAGCTCTAGCTTCAGAGCTAATTATATAATAATAATAATAATAATGTCATCACTGTATGGTTCCATACAATGGCAAATGGTAAATGGACTGTACTTATATATCCCCTTTCTATCTTAGTTCAAGATACTCAAAGCGCTTTAAACTACAATCTGTGCCTCATTTACCCATTCCTACAGCACTCTACTAGATCTCTATAAAGCTAGTTGAACAAATCATTCTAAAAGAGACTAATCAGAGCTTTAGATCACATTCATACACTGATGGGACACACATCAGAGGCTATGAGGGGTTCAGTGTCTTGCCCAGGGACATTTCAGCATGTGACTGCTGGTGGATTCGAACCCCCAACTCTCGCATTAGAGGACGACTGCTCTAACCACTCAGCCACAGCCACCCCCGAAATTAGTCTCTGCATTTAACCCATCCACCACCAGGTGGTGCAGTGGGCAGCTATTGAAAGCACCCGGGGGGCATTTTGGGGATGAGTTGTGCTGCCCAGAGACACCACGCGGTATGCAGTGACTGGGGATTGAACCTGAGACTTTTGGGTCCCAAGCCGGCTGCCATGCCTCTACATATATATATATATATATATATATAAATAGCCTTAGCTTCAGAGCTAAAAACGTTAGCTCTAGATTTAATTGCATTAGCTTCTAAGCTCATGCTATGGCGTTCGATTCAAAGCTAATAGTGTTAGCTCCAGAGATAAAAGTGTTAGCTCCAGAGCTAATAACATTAGCTTCAGAGCTAATTCATTCAACCTTCATTTATACAGGTTTTTTCTCATTAAGTCTCGAGGACTCGTTTACAAGAGAGACCTGATTTAAACAAAACAAAAAAAACACAGATGAGGTACACACAACAATAAACAGTCAAAATTCTACAGCGTTCAATCCAGAGCTAATGGCGGGAGTATTGGGTAGTGGTGGCGCAGAGGTTAGAGAAGATGAGCCTGTGATCAGAAAGTCAAAGGTTCAACTCTCGGTACCGTCAACATCAAAATGTGGGTGGAAAAGGTGAAACACCCACATCTGCTTCCACCCTAATTTGCCCAACTCTGGGCCCCTGAGTAAGGCCCTTAACCCCCACCATCTGCTCCCAAAAACAGGTCTCTCTTGAAAATGAGTTGTCGTGACTCAATGAGACTACCTGTATAAATAAAGGGTAAATGAAAAAAAAAAAAATGCTGCCATGGGCTTAGACTACTTGAGGACAAATTTACCTCATTTCCTTAAATGAATTGTTAAAATTGAAAATTAAAAAAAAAAAAAAAAGTCTGGTCCTCTGGACAGTCAAAAAACAAAACAAAAAAAAATGTAGAAGCGTTTCGTCTTTCATCCGAAAGACTTCTTCAGTCTGAAGTGCTGTATTCAACAGAGGACCAGACTTAACTTTTTTAGATTCTCTACCTGGATTATTGAGCATGAATCAGGATGTTAAAATTGAATAGTTTTCATTTGATACTATTTCTATCTTAACATGTGATTCGTGACCTGCCATTGTGTATCTGTTCTTCTCAAACCCAGCCGGTCGAAGCAGATGGCCGCTTGTCCTGAGCCTGCTTCTGCTAAAGGTTTCTTTCTCATGAGGGAGTTTTTCTTTTCCACTGTCGCCTTCATGCTCAAGATGAGAGTTCTGTGATGGAGTCTGCTCCTCAGATAAATAATAAATTTTTTTTTTATATATATAAACGTTTCTGTTCAGTGCCCTGAGATGACTTCAGTT